TCTTAATTTCAACTCAACACATCTACTCAGTGCTAAACTTCCACTTGCTCGAAACTTATTCAGGAGGGCCACAAAGCTCGTCACGAATGAAGATGACAGACAAATGCAGTCAAGAAACATAATAGATGTATTACACTCTAATAACTATCCTAAAAACAACATTCAAAAGATTAAAAGCTATCAGGATAAGAATGCAAGAGGAAAATCAAATGATGAGTCTTAGATCATTACAGTAGTTCTACCATTTCGCTAACTTACAACTGAAGGGCTATAAAGAATTTAAAGAAAACACCGAATTACAGCCTTCTGCAAGGCAACCAACACTCTCAGGAATGCCTTAGTTCGCCTAAAAGATAAAATTTCTCTTACCTTCACACAGAACTGTGTCTACAAATCAGTTTGTGTCGATTGCTATGCTTATTATATTGGGGAATCATACCGTGAGATCCTCACTCGGGCTAAAGAAAAAATATGCAAGTTACACAAAACGACCGCCAAATAATCCTTTAGAACTAGAGAGTTTACAAATCAAGTTGGCAATTGCTGTTCATGCCGTCTATCACAGTTACAAATTCGACTTTGAAAATATTAAAAGGTTTTTCAAACTACAAAGAAAGGCAGATAGCTGAGGCATTTTACATTATGTTGAGTCCTAATGCATTCAATAGAAAGGGAGGCCTAACTGTCCAACTCACCCGGACAGTATTTCAAAAATAACATGTCACACACAATAATCAAAACAAAGTACATGCACAAATAAACCATCCATAGTATTTTTCTCAAACATTCACATGTGCACACAGTCGGGTCATCACCTTGACCTTCAGACTAATGACGAATAACTAAGTCTCATAGTATGAGGTGTATTTTTTACTTGTATAATCCCGGGGTAGCATATTAGAACAAATGACAAAATAAGCAAATATTTTATCTGGAGGTTTGTAGAGATTTATCTACTGATTTCAGACTGGTATTCATTATGAACCAACATCAACTGGAGTAACATTGGAAACCTGGGAGCACTGGAAAACTGCTTTGTCCTGGTATGGGATTCCCCAGAAGTGAGCACCTATGATTCCGCACCACCAGAGATCGAGCCCACAACCTCGTGGTCCTGTAACTAGCACTTTACCATTGAGCCACTGGGTCGGAATCCAATGGTCCATACTTCCTATTTCTGTCAGTTCACTATATAGTGTGACCTACACCCAATATCATTGCTGAGTAACTGTCCGTATGTTCGACTTGAGTGACTCCACTGGTCATGACTTCTCATTGGAATTTTGCAAATCACCTCTCTAAGCTAGTCACCAATGAACACGAGATTAATTCTATCTGGAGGTTTGTGGATATTTATTAGTCGATTTTAGGACTATGGATTCTGAACCAGTAGCTCAATGACAACGTGCTGACCACGGAACCTCGAGGTACTGGGTTCGATCCTTGGCGTGGTCATAGGTGAGCACTGCTGAGGAGTCACATAGCAGGTCAAAACAGCTATTCAGAGCCCCCAGGTTTGTAACGTTCCTCTGACTGACGTCAGTCCATGATGAAATTCAACCTAAATTAAACAAGTGTTTTGTTTGCATTCATCATGGACTGGCATCAAAGCTCACCATTGTTTCATCATCTTCAACACTTGTTTATATTGATTTGTGTTTATAGTCCAAAGAATTTTTAACGACACTTACCAAGTTGTCTTGTAATGGCTTAAGGATTTTTGTAAGGTATTTGTAAAGGTTACATGTTGCGGAATTAGTAAAATCCATAATTGGAGAAATCAGAAAATTAAGTTTGTGAAATTTGGGACGGCCATAGAAGCGTGAAGCTGGATAAATAACATTTTGGTGCCGAATTAAACCACAAGGCATTGCCTATTTTCGGTTTCAGGTTACATAGTAATTTTTTAATGTGTAGTTTTACTTTGCTAAATGTGGGCCTGTGTTTCTTGCTTTCTATCACTTCATATAATCCAGTGGATTAGTACTGTGTTACTTTTTGTTCGCTTTCGTGCGTTTGTGACCACAGTAATATTTCCTTTGTCAGCTTTCATAAACCGACTATTCTTATCACTTTTTAAACAGCGAAGTGTACTTTCCTCATTTGTCGGTTTTTGGTTAATTAGAACATACGAGATTTTATGTCTCTCTGCTTCTACAATGTTTTACTGAATTAGTTTCACTGCCGGTTCTAAAGACAGTGCAACTTCGAGTATCGTCATTGGGGGACAATTCAAATTAAAGTTCAGTCCTTTGGATAATAGCGAGTTTTTCTCATATGTAAGAACAAGACAGGATAAATAGCATACTACTTTGAAATTAAACGATTTGTTACCTTGCATGGCATTTCGTATATTATAGTTAAGATTTAGTGCATTGAATATTTTTATCTGCCCAAATTTGGCTTATTCCACATAAAGACATTTATACCCATATTATAATCACGTATGAAGAATGTGTTCCGGTTTGTCATTGTTTACTTTTTCAACATTCGAAGAAGCTATTTCGAAGAAGTGATGAAATGTCAGGAATTTATTTTTCTATCTCATTGAGATTTTACAAATATATTACACTTATAATCAATTTACCCAACCGATGCTCAACTTATTCAACTCTCTCAGGTCAGGTTTCGATCCTGAAGTCGATAAAATTATTTTATCGTTTCTGTCCATTGAGTGACGTTACACTGAGTATGTTTGTTCTATTATATACAACGTATCTGTTAGTTATTCACGCGGTGATAATGTATTGAAGTACGAAGATCTGAAGGCTATAATTTCAGGCCACAACCAAACATATCACCCACTGACTGCAGTCAAAGTGAATGTTGGTTTATCAATTGGTTGTTGTAAACAAGTCAGTGGAATGTTGAACTAGATGACTTCTAGGTTTCCACTTTGAATTGAACTAGTATCTGCTTTCGGTAGTAAGCTTTCTTTTAGAAATTCAAATAAAAATCTCGGTACTTCAGTTATGGGTTAACCGATATTGGTAGCTGTGAAACTACTAGACTGCGCAAGCTGATTGTGACCGAAGTCTTCATTGTTTCACTTTACACTTCTAAACACTGAGCTGTTCTATGTATCTGATTTGTATTTCTCAAAAGTTCTGACTTCAGTTCGGACCTTAGTAGAAGCATTATTTGGTGGGAAAACCAAGTTAATGGATCAACTTTTTGGAGTCACCTACTAACCAGTTTATGCTGTAAATAGATATCAATGTTGCTACTAAGCTGGGACCAAAATACTTGGAAGTTACAATTTCTTTTCTTGATAGTTGTAGATAGTTCGGAATACCACTAAAATCAGCAGTTTGTGGGTGTTTCAATAGAATACAAAATAATCTACTCAGTCTAGCTCACAAACCTTCATTGGTTTTGTGGAGTTGTTCTTGACAAACACCGATAAACAGGATTTGGACGAAAGAGCATAGAACAGGCAAAAAGTTACTTGTGTTGCCCGGCAGTAAAACATGCATATTTGCTCAAGTCTTTTATAGATAGCAGTGAGTACAAATGGAAGTAATTAGCATAACGATTTACATTTTTAGGTAGTTTGTTTTATGCCAGTAAATTAAAATAAATTTTGATTACAGGTTAGTAAATACTGGAAATAACCAAAAACCATAAAACGTGTACGAATTCCCTCAAGAAATTTCATGCAAGTTCTAAAGCGTCGCTCCTGAAAGTATAAAACCAAACGCTAAATTTACTCCTAAGATACCTGAATACAGAATGCCAGATTTAATTATATCCATGGGGAATTTGTGCATTGTGGAGAGAATCAATTTGTTAGAGAAATTTTTTTCTGAATGTCTTCATACAATGATGTTATTGAGTTTTTGGTAATATTTCGAGTAAAAACTAAATAACATCATTGTTTGTGAACATTCATCAAAAATATATTTCTAATAAAGTGAGTGCTAGATTTATCTAAAATACAATATACCACTGACAGGTTAATCTTCTGAACTCTGTCGTGAGGTGTCTGGATATTCAGTACACCATGAATGGCACTGTTTGAGAAGTACGCGAGAGTACAAATTAAATACGTAAAAGATAAGTCAAGTTCAAAAAAAGAAGACATGGAGGTAACCGACTACATTAAATAAGAGTTCAAAGTATGATACGATACTCATGAAGCAAACTGGATGGGTTTCAGTAACGTGAAAGATAAATAGCAGAAGCCAATACTATCAAATTTCAAGGTGCCAACAAAAGGCATTCTAATAAAATTCCCTGGTGGATTATGGATCAGTCAACACAGAAGATTTAACACTACTTAATAATAGTAAGTAGTACAAATGAAGGCAATAAAATAGAACAAAGACAAGGAAATAGTCATAAAATAGGTAAAATGTTTTAATAGGAGAACTCTCCAGTAGGAAATTGCTATGCAAGCCTGAAGCAGAATGAACGAAATTGACTTAATCATCAAAATACTGGTGTATTCGTGTAACAGTCTATCAAAGAGGAATCTCCTAAGAGTATGAGATAACCGTTAATTAACTTATATTTTCTGTTGGTTGTGTAACTATTACCTTACATATCTATCTATCTTGAAATTAGGATAATGAATTTTACTTACCACACACACATACACACACACAGCATATTCATGTCGTAATATGAATTTTCAACCCCCTCTGTACATGTAAATTTGAAAACAGACGCATTTCGAAATTTTGACCGCTACCGATGAGGCTATGGTGAATGTGGTGTATTTGTGTGACAGAAGAGAAGAATGTAGAGAAACTAAAAGTATATCAAAAGGCACTTCTAATGAGATTCAGCTAATAGGAGGCAAAAAAGTTTACACTTACTTCTCTTGAGTGTAGAAAATGCGAACAAAAAGTAGTGGAATAAAAACACGAAGAATTTATTGTTGACTCTAGAACTTGAATAAATCTAATCAATTATTTATGTTAATTTACTGAAAATGGAGAAATCAAGTTATTACTGTAAAACACGTGTATATATATATATATGTATATAGCTCTATTGAAGTAAACACTACAAGAGGTCGAAGTTATCAGAAAATGTCCTCAGATAAAAAGAACGTAACCTTACTTAAATTACAGCCTAATCATCATTGCTCTCAACAAACGTGTCAACGTCAAAATGATGAGAGACAACCAATCATTATTGACCAGTTATATGAAAATGTTGTTGGTGCCTGTGGTCTATGGCAATGGTTTACAGCAATTCTAGTAATGCTTAGCAGTCCATCTACACCAACATTCCCTGTATTTGCCAATTCTATACCAGTACAACGATGTCGGTTATCCCCAAATATAGAGGATATTGTAAATCGAACAAATATAAGCCTTCAACAAGTTGGGGCTATAATTGGCCCATGGACTAGCGAAATAGGCAGTAATTATACCCAAACAAACGGATGCTATCAATACAAGTTGGACTGGACAGAAAAGTTGTTCGAAGAAGTAATTGATACATATTTAAGTGGTTCAACGAAATCAAGATATGCTGATTATCCACTGATTCCCTGTCAAAATGGATACGTGTATGAACTAAATAAATTACAGTATCCTGGAAGTGTAGTTGTTGAGTTCAACATAGTTTGTGAACGGGAATGGCTTGTACCACTGGGTTCATCAATGTATTTTGTTGGGATGATGGTTGGATTTCTTGCTGGTGGATGGGCTGGCGATCATTTTGGTCGTAAAAAATCATCCATTTTTCTGGCCCTCATTGAATTTATATTCAGTCTTTGTGTAACATTCTCACCAAATTATACTGTTTACATATTGTCAAGAGCAATTGTTGCTGCAGCTAATTTAGGCAAAGTAACTGTACTGAATGTAATGATAATGGAGTCAACCATAGCTAAATATCGTTCATACGTCAGTGCTGCTTTAGTATTGGGATATAATTTTTTGCTGAGATCCTTAACATCACTGGAAGCATACTATATACCGGACTGGAGGTGGTTAAATCTAGCTGTAATGGCGCCTAATTTAATGTGTGTCCTACATTTTTGGTGTTTAGTTGAATCTCCAAGATGGTTACTATCTAAGGACCGACGTATAGATGCATTGAAATCACTAAAATTTGCTTACAAGATCAATCACTTTCAATCAGGAATCGACCGAAAATCTACGAGTATACTAGATGAGATGATCCAACAGGAAAAAGAATTTCAAGAGGAAGAAGAACGAAAAAACATCAGTTCAGACATGAACAATAATCCTACCAAAAACCAACAAAGCAATCAAGATTACCAAGACCCTAACAGTAATCTCACCAGTAAATCATCTCTACAACTTTTTCGATCATTTTTACTACCATTCTCAACAAAACAGCTAGCTAAAACAACAGTATTCGGAATATTATTATTCAATGGCGAAGTGATGACCTATTTCGGTCTACTACTTTATGCTCGTGCTGTACGCGGTAATGTCTACTTAGTAAGCTTTATCAATGCATGCACTACTATTCCAGCTTTATTTATGTCAACAATACTTTATCGTGTAGTACGTCTTCGTAAACCTCCACTGCTGTTTGTATTTGCAGTAGCGTTTATTATCCTGTTATCATGTGGTTTATACACTTATATATGCAATCCAGAGAATGATTTGACTTTGGCCATAGGGTCAAACTTAGCTCTTGTATTTCTTGGTGCTGGATTGTTCATGCTTTACATCTATATCCCTGAATTATATCCTTCTGTTATGCGTTCTCAAGGATTTGGGATAAATGCTGGATTAGGTCGTATTGGTAGTATACTCTGCACTTTTGTCAACCAAATGGATTTTTATGTTGGACACGGTTCACCTTTATTAATATATTCAGTTGTTACTTTACTGCAGTTATTCATATTATGTATAATACCGGATACAAGTGGGGAAAATTTACCTGATGTATTAGCGAAAAAGCAATCTGACACGGAAGATGCAAACGATCTTACAAGTTCAGTATTCTCAGTCTCTGAATTTACTAGGGTGTGAGTCTTCATATTTCATTGAATTTGTGTACAATTCATTCCTTTTCTGTTCTTTTATTTTAATAATATAGTTTACTATTTGTCAATACATTTAGATATGTATGTAATGAAGGCGCAATGTTATTAGTATTTTATTCCCTGAATATCATGAAAACTGAGGTTATTCGCTGACGCATATTGTTATGAATGTTTCATTAAGCCTTAATAATAGACCACTTGAAAAACAAAATATGGTTGGTTCTTATTTACCTTTTTATTTTCATAGTATGGTAAGTGAACTGAATTGAAATTGTAGTTAAGATCACTTGTCCTTCTTTTGTGGAGGGCCAGTTGATCAACACTTCATAACTCATACAATGGATGATAATGTTTACCCGAAGATCTGTGAAGTATGATAATGCAGCTGTTGGAGAATGGATAAGTTTGTGAGCTGGAAAGTTTAATTTACCGGTGCAGTAAGGTATTACACATTTACTGCAGATTACCAAATAGTGATTTATCGAATATGTGACACTTATACATTTTATTTCCATTGCTCTAAAAGTATTTTCTATTGATGAATACCTCACTTTTGCCAGCTAGTATCCGCGAAATCAACCTAAGTTGCCTAGCCACTCGAAATATTAACTGTGATAGGAACAGGAGATTGTACTTGATAGGTTACTACTGGGATGCTTAGAAAAATGGTAGCTCAAAGAGCTACTTTTGGTTCTGAGTCCTGTGAACCACACAATCTATACACATAGCTTTCACTATTTCGATAAACAAAATCAACAGTATTTATACTGGGTTATGATTGAAGGTGAAATGAATCCAACAGTGGTCCAAATTTTCAGTTCGCGTGCAATCATCGCCCAGTATAAATACTAGTCTGTCAAACTACGACTGTCTCAGATAGTCAAATGAAAATCATTAGTGTGAATCTCACCAAGAGGGATGTTGGCAAATATTCACATGTTGTCAGTCTATTCGATGCATAATCTGTTAGTTTGATGACTAAATTCCGATAACATTCGTATTATTTTGTAAGTATATAGTTCGGTAAATTGTTTCAATAATCTGACTATTTAATAAATATTTTAAGTTGTTATTCAGGTTTCCGAGGTTTCCTTTGTTCCTCCAACTGATCTTAGTCTATGATGAATAACAACTTGAAATATTTCCAAATCCTCACAACTTCCTCAAAATTCAATGTTTAATAAATGGTCGTTTGATCTATTCTTTATTACCTGGTGAAGTAAAGCAGTACCTCCAGTTCAGTTAGTCACTGTTTAACTGATTTTATGCTTCTGCAAAGTCTTCGAGTATTTTTCAGTCTTTCGATGTCTAAAGTGTTCGTATTAATAGCTGCTGACAGACACAGAAAAAATGGATGCATCGTCTAATATCACTTAGCCATATGCTGTTTTTACGATGGGGTGGATAATCTTTTCCTTGTAATTTTATTCTCAACTGTGATAGTCTATTTTATAAATGCTATTACAGTCCAACTTTGAGATTCATTTTCTGTAAGGTATAGAATGAAGTGTGTTAGATAGTAGGGGTTAGTAGGCAGAAAGCTCTGGACCTCGATTTTGGGCTTGTTGGAACTTATCAGAAAAGCATGTCTGCCACAATGAGGGAACTGGAGTTCCTTTGGTGACTTGAACTTGTATGACAGAGTTGAAGTAAGAAATAACCACAGAGCTAGCAAAAACATTATAGATTATAGATATTTCGAAAATTTTACTACCCCAAAAAGTTTGGAAGTCGTGTGATTACTTTTGATAAAGATAAGAGTAATAAATTTTCATCAAAATGTTATCCAGTAACTAATATTGTAATAGCCGGTCGTATATCCAATAAACAATCGAATACAGAATTGTCGCCATTGATTAAGAGATGATTACCTAATGACTAAATAGGTATACCTATTGTCGCATTTTCCAAAATTTTCAAGATCCTTGTGCTTGGGTGACAGTAATTAGTAGCCACTGGAATTAACCTTCGACCACAAAATAACTATGAAATAAACTGTCTTTGCTTTATTTCATAGTCATGAAAACACGATGAAAAAAATTTGTAGATGAGGATGAGGATGTTTGTTTGGTGTTCACGACAACATACCGTAGCTCAGAGAGCATTAAACCACCATTATCATGAAAACCTTGAAAGCAATGAAATTTCAATGAAGGTTTGCGAGAAAATGGAAAGCCTGAAGATTTGATTACCTGACTGTTTGTAATAGGTCTATCAGATGTCACTGAAGTCACTGTATGCCCTAAGAACCCACACAATAGTCTTACTCAAAACGTTAGTCATCCATCTAATTTGCTTTATAGCCATAAACAACTGCAAATAAGTGCTCAAGTCAATTTATATTCAAGTATCTATTCAGGTTTGATAACTCATTTTTTCCCACAACAAATATAATGTACCATGTATTCAAGTTGATCGTTCGATGAAGAAAACTTTTTCATGACTGCTGTATTAATCAAACCCATGAGAACGAAATGTTCATGGTTCTTCAGAAGTAAACTGTCTGCAATATTCACCTTAGACTTCATGACTGACAATGTATACTACCTGGACATTCTAGGGGCGTAAATAGTAAACTTTAAATGTAAGTGCTGCCAGAATGAATGTACAAGTTTGTGTTTGGAAATCGTTAAAAATACTACCCACAGGATTACGTATATCCGGAGAGAATATACGTGATGGGACGTAAATATTTTAAGCTCCGATTCTACTGATAGCTCAGATGCTCATTGAAGATGAAATCATCGTTTCCATCAACGGTAACAGTCCACGAAATAACTCATATTATAGTCAGAAAACTTCTGCTATTTTGTTATTGATGTATGGATAATGTGCACACAAGAACTCGTCCTTTCATCATCTAACCGATAAAATAAATATGACTAAATTATGAATAAAACATGTATATGATGGTCACACAGAGGTGAAAAATTAGTCTGTACAAACATTAATATGCGGACGATTTATAGAAGAGGGATAGACCTTCACCTGGTTATATTAGATTTTAGAACTGCCATCCTAACCCAATCTGTTGTGTGGTTATGGGTTAGTGTATAAAGAATAATAGACAAGTTTTTCACTAGATTAGAAAGGTCTGTCAGTCTTTATTTCGCTAAATTTTTGTACTCTGCTGTCTTAACTCACCCTAACCAGCTACTCTGATGTATAAACTTGACCTCACAATTGTCACAGTTATCATTTTATTTAAGTGGATCTACTGAATAGCTTAATCTTAAAAGTTTCACTCTGAGTTCATATTTTAAAATGTTACCCTAGTTCCAGCATCGTTAAGATCCCTACGCAGATGCTTCGAAGTGTCTTCTTTATATAACAACACTACAAACCCTTATTATTTTACTTTTTTTCGATCTATTGCCAAGTAGTTTGTGTATCGGACTAAATGCCCATTGAGACAGTTCAGAGTGGACAAGTTCCCAACTCTTATTACATCCAACTGTATCTACCGATTCACAAGCACGTGCTAAAGCATATGCATCGAAAGAACAGAAAGAAAATTTGTTGTTCGCATTCCTGAATGTATCTCGAATAATATGAGCCTTCGAGGTCCACAGGATTTACATAGTGCAGTTGCCCAAAATTTGCTTGATACTGGACGTAAAGTCAAGTTATTTGGGTTATTCAACGTGATCAGTAAAAAACGAAAACCCACTCTTTTGCTCTTTAGTGAAGCAATTGCAATTAAAAGACTATAGCCTAATCTATGTATTCGGTAAGACAGCGTTGTGAATCTTGGATTACCTTGGTAATTTTAATCTTTTAAATTTGTAATAGCAAGGTTTCATGACCTCATGACCCCTGGTTGCTTTTGCACTTTGCTTTTTGATCTATTTCAAAACCTACTCTCCATTTCGTAAATGAATTCATCTTATTGCTAAATATAAATGAAGCCCTGTTGATCTTTTATTATGCTTACTTAACCATGACATCTTTTTACCAATTCTAGGACAGGATTATGCCCAAACCCCTTCCATATATATACAATAAACTTATTCCCCGCTGAAATCGGGGAGACGAAATAACGCCGGTTGGTGAAAGCCTTAGAGAAGCCACTTAGTTGATGCGTCTTCTCTCGATGAAGGCAAAAGTAAGAATGGGAACATGCAATGTCCACACAATACTTGTGGCTGACAGGCAAGGCTGCCCAAACTTCCTTCAGGTCAACAGAGAGAAGACAGAAGTGATGAAGATACCAAACCAACCAATCAATCAATCAATCAACCAACTAAAACCAAGCACCAATCACCATGAACGAGAGAAATCTAAAGGAAGTAGTCTCTTTCACCCACCTTCCTAGGCAGTATCGTTTCAACTACAGGCGGCACATGCACAGGCACAGGAACAGATGAGAATGTCAAAGCCAGACAGAGTCGGGAAGCAAGACAGGCCTTCATCAACCTGAAATCAGTGTGGAGATCTATTCCACTCCACCGAGCATGAAGAACAAGGTCCGGATTTTCAACACAGTGCTTCGATATGGCTGAGAGACTTGGCGCGTTACGAAAAGCATTTCCAACAGACTACAGACATACATCATCAACAACTGCCGCCTGCCTACGCTCACTCGATACTGAAGACCAGATGGCCAAAATAATAAGAATAAGTGGGGAGGAACTCTGGCTGGCTGGTAACGAACCAACCAAGAATCCGTCGCCCAACATATGTGCAGAAGAAAGTGGAGATGGATTGGATTGAGGATACACTGAGAAGACCGATCAGGGGTATCATGTGCCAGGCCGTTGAGTAGAATCCAAAGGGGGAAACGATGAGTTGGGCGTCCGAAGTGAAGGTGAGATGAAGATGGTGTGAGGAAGAAATGGAGGCTTGTGGGCAGTTGTTGGGCCAGGTTGGAAAGACTGCAGAGGAGAGAGTGAAATATCGACATGCTACTTAAGCCCTATATTCCACTAGGAACCCAATGGAAAAATAATAATGATAATAACAGTATATATATATATATATATATATATATATATATATATATATATATATATATATATATATATATATATATGATTTTTGCTTTCTTCTCTAGAATGCTCATTCTGCCACTGTTAACCTTTGCGTAGTCTTAAAAACTTTATCAGTGTCGATCGACCGGAATCTTTTTTACCGTTCACCTTAATCCAAAAAATTCTTGTAGATTTATGAAAGTGCGCTGTATAACATGTTGTCCATCATAA